CTGTTTGATGCAGTTTGATTTGCTTGTGTCATTCATTGCTTTGTGCCGCATGTGCTACAAGGGAAGCGACTGTAATGTTCAATTAGTCTATAAATATCAAATGAGGCTCACACGTTGGCTGCTCACACGAGAGCCGACTTACTCGATATTAATTAGAAAAAACAATTAATTGAAAAATGTACTGAAAGAAAACAGCTAATCTAATTATTATCCTGTGCATGCACTGCACAGTTGGCCATTTCGAACGATGAACGAAAGTGTTTGACCTTTCTTTGTTGCATTCCCCGATCGTATAACGGCGAATCAGAGCCAAAATCAATGCAGAATCACATGCACTCAACATACCCCAAACAAAATGTCATTTCAATTTAACGCCAAATTCAATGGTTTGTGCGAGACGTTTTTGTACCAAAATTACTACATTTTTCGGCCCTTTTTTATGTGACCAAACTGTACAGTTGTTACCATGTCCAACTACATATTTTCGAACTAATTGAACATTTCGAAACATTGCTGCTGTATTTTTGCATATCGTTTGATTCGAGAACAATTTGCAACATCCAATCATGCACCGTTGAGCATTTTATTTTCAATCGAAACCCAGCCCATGTGCTGAAACCGTGACAATTCTCATCATAACAGGTTCACAATTTGAGGAAACCGTAGCAGGTATTTAAAGTGAAATCGGTTCGTTTGAATTCGATAAATAAAACGGAACTTGGACCAAATGTTTTAGCGGACGTTGAAATAAAAAAAAACATGTTGGTAATTAGTTCGATTTCGGCACTTTTGTCATTCAAAGCGGCCGCAATCAAAAAGACCGAGCGCGAGCAATTAGCAAAAGCTGGCCAAAGAGAGTGCCGATCGATTGGCACATGTGTTGTGTCTTCGAGAAGCGATTATCAACACAAGAGAGAACCTAAAAAAAAACCTCCGCAATAAATGAATGAAATAAAGTGAATTGAAGCGAAATGCGCAGCAAACGAAATATAAGACCGAATCGTTTCCTTTCAAAAATTGAACAATCAATGCCATTCATTGATTTCGAAAAATCCTTTGTGCTGTTTGTGAATGCCGCACATCCGCGCGTGAACGAGAAAAAAAGCGGCTAATAATAACCGTCGATGATGACAAGCAATGAATGTTGAAAATAAGATGACTGCAAGACACAAAGCAAAATACTTCGACCCTTTTCTTGTTTGTCGATTTGTTTCTTCACATTTTGAGCCCATTTTTTTTGTCATGCTGTTCGTCGGAACATAAACCAAACTTCGATATTTTGGTGTGTATTAACACATACATGACATCAAGAGGAGTTAGAGGTTGACAGAGGAAGGGAGAGTAAGAGATGAAAAAACTGCCTAATTTTGAATAGGCTGACATTAAGACGGAACAAAACGCGTAAAAAAACACAAATCATACAATAACAAAAACCATAAATTGCGTTAAATTTCGGAATATTATCTACGTTTCTTGCACTGCATACGAATTCACAGCGATGATCGGTTGATTTGTTGCAGGGCTCTGGGAAGCGTGAGCGAGTGTGAGTGCGACTGTGGCTGTGTCGGTCGCGATAATGTGGATCATCATTGACAATTGTAAAATATACACACATGTATCAAAGGCAGCAATGTGCATCAACGTCGCGGTCGCACTCGCGATGTATTGGCTCGGTTGACGGCTGAATTCAGCGAGAACGGGGGGGACTGAGACCGCATCAAAAAAGTGTTTTCACAGACTCAACTTGAATCGAGTGCTTATGCTGTTCTTGATCCCGTGACTTTGTCATTTGAGCGTTGATTTTCGATACCATTCCTACGCTTCATCATATTTCTTCACTCGTACAAATGTGAATACACGTTCCCATTCTCTATCTTTCTGTTGTTTCTGTCTCTTTCACATTTGAACAGCAAAAGACAAGAACGGGCCGGGCCGTACACGGAACGAACGAAAAAAGATAAACATATTTTATATCTTGTGTGATTTGTGTCGTTTTGAAAGCATCCGAACTGTGCACATTTCGTATTATAATGTTTATTGTTGGCGTTGATATTGTATTCTTTTCCATGGCTCGTTATGGTGTGCATGACTGTCCTCAAACGCGAATAAGACCTCTTGCGATTGAAGAGCGCGTCACATCAACCACGAACGAGAGCGGAAGAGTGTGCGACGGAAAAAGAGCCACACTGTTCTCTTTGCTCTTAAATTACACAATCATAAATCACGAGAGATGAATATTATTCAAATGAGCAGCGACGAAATATTGATGTATGTAATGTCGTACATTAGATCCGAATGCGTTTTTTTCTATGTTTTTTCTTCTCATCCATCGTTTGTTTGTCTGCGATAGAGTTTGAAGTCGTTTCGAATGTGTGGCACGGCACAGTCAATGGAAATGAACATGGAAAAAAGTACGGAAAAAAATGAGATGAATGTGCTGCGAATGCATATCTCGACCGCTTCGCTATATTTCCATTTTCACTTGAATAGACATGTCATCTATTAAAGCCGCAAGATATTATTAATATCGGCTTTTGTTCCAGCAATCGTTAGCTCGGTATCAGTTTGTGAAAGATTCCCTTCGATTCGATACGGTGACAACAGCTTTAAACAAGTCACGGCGCTGTTTTGTTCGATTGCTCTTCGAACGCGTCGGCTAGTGGGTTGGATGAAAATGTCATCATCGTTTCTCTCTCTTTCTCTCTCTTTTGTTGTTGTCGTTGTTTGGTATTGTTTTCGCTTTCAGCTTCTTCCACCCCGATCGTCTCCATCTCCAATCAAAAGGTTTGAACAAACAACACAAACAAAACCGCATACGTAATCTTATCGTTTGTTTAATGAATGTATCGTCATCTTGAGCTCGGTTTTACACGTCGCTTCAACTATTAATAAAAATTTCATTAAACTCAACACACACAGACGAATCCATTCAATCATCTTGTTTAGCAAAGGATATCCTCCTCTCATTACCGCTATGCACAAACTCTATTTTTATTCATTTGCACTCGCAATCGTTGCTTTCACGTAGACGAACGCCCAGCGCACCGTTACCGATATCAATTAATTTTCATTTAAAAGGAATAAATATCAATTTTGTTGTTCGACTCGAATCACATGTCGCCATTTTGAAATTAATTTTCAGTGCTTAAATGAATACACACTCTTACACACTCGGTGTGACGACCACATCCAACACGAAGAAATAAATAAATGATAGAACATAATTTGGTGATTTATCAACGAGCAACCATCGAAAAATAGATGAAAATAACACATTAAATTGGTAAAACTCTTTCCGAATGGAAAAAAGACGATTTTTGAAATATTTTTTGTCATATTATACTTGTCTATTTATTGTTTCTTGATGTCTCTGTACTAAATAAATAAAACGATTAGATTAGGTCGTCTTATGCACCGTCTATGTGAAGATGCCTCGATGCGTCGAAGTTTCGTTTGTATTTCTCAGAAAATGAAGAAGATGAAGAAGTCTTAAAAAAACGAAAACGACATACAAAAATAACTCATGTAACGTGTAATAAATTACAAATTAAAAGAGCAAACACCACACAATGACGGTGATACAAAAAAAAAACAAGCGCTCTCTCTCGGAAGAAAATAAATTGTGAAGCATTTTTTTGATTTGTCTTCGTCCGTTCAAATGAAGATTTATACGTTCGTTGTCTCCTGTGACAAAAGTAACAACACATCAACAAAATGTTCGTCATGCATACATATATACAAACACACGCGTTGTGCGAGTGGTGCATCGAATTAAAAATCGCTAGAATATGATAAGTGAACGGAATTCGAACAACAGTCGAACTGCATCAGCTACCAGAAATGGAACATTTGTTAATAATTAATAACGAATTTCTGTACATGCATCAACATTTTCGTTTAATTTTTTCTTCTCTCTCGTTTTACGTAAATGTGTATGTGTTTTTTTTCTCGTCCCAGATTGTTTGTTATTTTGCTTTAGAGTCGGTTCTCAATGAAATTCTTTTACAAGCATCCGAATAACGGAACCGTGAAAAAAATCTCCCATCTTCAGACACTTCGTTTCCTAAATACGGTTTGACATACGATAATGATTCATGGTTTGCAGCCTGAGATCCTGGGATTGATGTTGCAACAAATGCAACTGATTCAAAATGCTGTGCATTTGATTTTAACTCGTTTTATTGCTTCTTGAGTTCGAATTTTGTTTACAGTCGGGATTAGTTTTCTTCGTGTGTTCGAATTTCGAGCGACATATGATATAATATCTAAGATTGAGATTAAAATGGAAATTATTGTCATCATTTTGTTGTATGTGTGTGCCAGTGGCGTGTTGTGAGTGAAAAATTTCAGCATTTGTTTTCGGAATTAATGTGGAATATATGTGCATTTCCTCCGGCATAAATTTCGAGCTCGTAAGCGAGAAAGGACGATATTTAATGACATGTCGCTGAATATTTTTATGAGTGCTGTAAAATGGATTTCGATCAAAGGGGAATATCGAAATACACATGGGAGCCGGAAAAACACAACCATAAAGAGTTTAACATCGACACAGAACCTACACAAATCATTCGAGCATTTCCTATAGCTTCAGTCACATTTAAAAATCCAAAAATAATTTCGCTGGCGTTTATGCTTCGCGAAAATGGTGTTTTCTTATTCATTTTGTTCGTTGGTCTATTGCAATTGAATGTCGTTTGCATAATTAATGGGACCGGCGAAAAGAATGAATCCTTAGTCATGCTCACATTTTTCTTTTATTATAGTCAAGCCAAGTGTTGTCACGACCTAGCTAATTAGATGATGCGCAGTGTATGCACATTTTAACTGATACGCAAACACTAAACTTTATTGATTTAATTGCGTTCGTTTCGCCGATGTTAGAATTAGCACTTAATTACATCAAACAGTATGCTTTTAATAGTAATAGTGTTCGTCCTCAAACCATAAACACATTACTAAACATGTTTTCTTTTGTGTTTTCTTCTTTCCGTTTGCAGAGAGCCACACTAGCTGAAAAAGAAGTTAACTCATTGAAAGAGCAATTGTCATCCACAAATATTTCATCTCAGAATTCATCCATGCAAAACGGTTGTTTGGCACCGCCATCATTAGCATCTCCCGCAATGTCCGAGTGCAGCAGCAGCGGAAATCCAATAATCAGTAGCAAATCGCTAAACAACAACAAAGACGACGTCAACGACGACAAAATGGACACAAACAATGAGAATCAATCGACTTCAAATCGATCATCACCGGTGTCAATGGTCGAAAATAAGCGCGAAACAATCGACAATCTTGCCGAAGATGATGATGATGACGACATTGTTCCGATCCCATCTACTGTTACCTCGTCGACAACCAATTCACTAATCGGCTCGACAGCAATCACAACAGCATCGAATGCTCTAACAAACACATCGGCTGCAGCAAAATTGTCAAGCGTCGCATCCGACGTGAACGACATTGAAGGCAAAAGTTGTGATGAAATTTCTGCCAAAGACAAAGAGGTAAGCTTCTTTTAACGATAAACGCTATTCCATGTGTAATGCATTTGTGGCCACAAATTCCATTTATGAATGAACAGTTTTTGTCTGATTTCGGGAATTCCGATTGGAATTTTTACCTTTCTTCTTCCGCGCACACATACACCAATACCATTCATTGCCACCGTTATAAAGTCAATGAAAAAGTGCCATGCAAACCGGTTCCTCGTATAATTTTCGCCAAACACGATGACAACAAAATACTCGCTTTAATGAACTGATGGCAGATATATTTATTTTTATTAGTTACGCGCAACGAAAAGTGCTTGCACATGTGCCATTGTAATTATGCAACCGCCAGCCAAGACGCTGATTGTGAGATGGAACTCGCTCGCGCCACAACATGCGCATTCTTTGGTGTTTTCGGGTTCGCAATGGTGTACGTGTGTGCCGAAAGCCGAGAGGGAAACGCATCGCGTTCTTGTTTATAATTTTCACTTGTTCAACATTTGGCTTGTTTACGATCACTAAATTTCACAAAATTATTGTTATTTGTATTTTGCCATTGTTTTACCCTTTAGCCAAATACCGTTTCGATGCGCGCAGCAAGCGAGTGTATTTGAAACCGCAGATATTTGGAAATATGCTTTCGAATGCGTGGTGCAAGTGGTGTCGTTGTTATTTTTCCGCAAAAATTCTTTCCATTGTATCGCATTGACATATTTATTTTCGCATATTTTTCGAAAGAATTTCCTATCTTGTTAGTTACCAGGCTTATAATTCCCGTTCCGAATAGACGACAACGGTGGCGGCAGCACCACTGCGTGCAAGTTTGTACTTCGAATGTACAAACTTTTGTGGATTTTGTCATAAAGAATGACCCCGTGAAGTTGACTCAGCGCAAGCAAAGTACAGCGAGTTCAAAACTAAATTCCTCCTTTGAAATGTGATAAATTTCTGATTGCTTTCACTCAAATGCAACGGAAATTCGAAGTGGTTTCCAACACAAAACAATAGTTCTTCGTAGTTGTAATTACAATTACATGAACTCAAACAAACATCTTTGGTGCAAGTCAGCGCGATTTTGTCACCTTATTCTTTTTCCCGTTGAAACAAGTGACATTTGCTGTATGAAAATGAAGAAAATGTAAGTCGCTGGAATAATCGGATTTTCTCCTGTGGAAATGTCGATATTGAAAATGTCCATTGAAACGAAACGGGCGAAAGAAAATGCTGCCCGCTTTTTACTTTGTAATATAAATAACAAGAAAGTGATCACAAGTGTTTGTGTAAAGTGGCGAAAACATCTGACTGCTGCTGATACTTTGGCTCCTTAGAATCGACGTGTTGGTAATACGATAGCATTGCCATACAATCTACCTAATAATAATATTAGCTACCCTCGTGCAGAAAACAACGGGAAGGCACTTTGTAAACGGGCGCTGAGCAGTCTCGAGAAGCGAATGGACTGCTTTTGAGCATTTTGCATTCGTCGTCGTAGGAACAATGTTCCAAGAACTGTACGAATACTTGACATACTGTTTTGTTTGCTTCATTCAACGACTCATTGCAAAAGATGAGTACTGATCAGTGCGGAAGGTGAGGCCGCGAAGCGAGAAACCGTGTCGTCATAGTGGGAGATCCGTACTTAAAAGTGAATTGTTAATTGGAAAATTTTAATGCGTTTTCTTTAATTACGGAAACCGATGCTTTGCCGTTATTTACGTGCCCATCCTCCAACCTTTGTCACCACCACCACACCGCCGTCATTCGTTCGTTTCAATTCACTTAACTTTTGATTGCGACTTCGAATTCAATATTCTACCTGCGCGTTGCTCTGTATCGCGCACAAGTTTTTGTGTTCAACTAGATATAATGACGACAAGGCACATTGAGTAAGCAAACGGAGGAAAAGAAAAATTTCTTCATTCGATCACTAAACTTTTCTTTGAAAATAGATATTCTCTTTGTCAAGTCAGTATTTATTAGATTCACTGCTGTTTATTATCTCTGGCTTCTTTTCAAGCGTGCTCTTATCACATTTCCTCTTACCTCATTCCTTTGGCGACAGCGACAACAACGATGGCACCAATTGAAAAGAAATTAAAAGTGAATTGGGCTTCTTTGGTCCATACTCTGTGTACTTAAAATGCACAGTGCACAAAGGAAAAGCACGACTCACTTGCTCGTTGGCTTCAATATCATGGCCGATATATTCAATAAACGCTATCGCATTTCTTGTGTAATTGTCTTTCGCCATTACCTCGCTCATCGCGCACTCTAAGTGGATCAAATGGAAGACAAAAATACAACGGAAACTAATTAGAAAACATCGAACAGCACTTAAATTTCCATCAATTCCATTCCGAGTAAACAATTTGAATAAAAGTTTTGCAAATGCTTAAGAAAAGCACTCAACCGGCTCGATATTATCTACGAAGCAAATACTGCAATTGAATACAATTACCCATTCACTGTCTTACGCGCCGTATTCGAAAAGAGATGAAAATTTATTCCTCTTTTATTCGTCATTATTGGCTTATTAGATATTCACACCTTTCAATCCTTGCCGCCTCGTGTTTTTTTCTCCCACAAAATATTTATGCAAATAAGAAAAAAAGTCAAACAGAAAGAAATTTTATCTTCGATTCTTCAGCATTTCTCCCTTGTTTCACATACTTCACCTCAAATAACCGCATTCTTGTTTATTTACTTAACACTTGATCATATTTTCCCTTCTGTTTTTTTAATGAAAAAAAAGAACTCCTTGAAGGAGTCGACAGAAGGAATATTTCCATATTTTGACACTCGAACCGTTATCAACTGTTTGTCAGTGCAAATAGACCGAACCAACCGCCTTCAATACATTGATTTGACTGACGCCTACATTCTTCGTGCGGTTGTATTTTTCGTGCGTTGTCGGTAATTGTGAGAAATACGTCACCCTTTCGATACATCAGGCAAACAATGTCTGTCATCTTGTAATTTTATTGTAATATGACTTGTTGGCAAATTCATTGGTATACACCGTGTGCGGAAAGAAAAATAAATAGATAAAAATCCATGCACAAACAAAAAAAACCGTTTGAGGGGTTGGAAAAGGCAGTGATGCCAAACAAAAATCAGGAAAGAATTTTCTCTAAATGCCTTCTGTTACGGACGATTGAAAGGAAATCGGTGCGAAATGATCGGATCTGATTTGAATAAAGATAAACAGACACAACCGCACCGCACCGTCTTATTGGTGTGCCGACGTTCGTTTTTCTGGGTTTTCTGAATGCGGGCAGTGGTGAAAAAAAAGTTCGACAAAGAATGTTGGCGGCGAAGGGAGCCGACACCGGAAAAATTTCCGTCGCTCGTTGGACGAAACCGTCATTTCGTATGCAAAACGGTTACCAATCTTCTGATTGAATGAACAGGACCAACTGTTAGAAAAAAAAGTCGAAGAAAATCGGTGAACAAACACATAGCCGTACAAAGAAGAAGCAGCAGCCACAACGAAACATCCACAAAAAGGGTCGGAAACTTGTGATTTTTCTGAGCTTTTCCTTTGTCAAATCACAAACCAAACGCATAAAAAACCAACAACACAAACATTCCACTCTTGAAGAAGAAAAACTGTATTTTTGTCGAGCCGTCGTTTGTGTTTTGACTCGGGCGAATATCTTCTTTTCTCTCCAGTACACAAAAGTGTGTGTGCGACGAAGGGTCGTGCTCCTTGGAGCAAAACTCAAACACTTCGCCTTACAAATAGCTATAGATTACAATACAATCACCGCACGTACAGCAGCATTACCAGATCCAACGCACTCGCGTCGACCTATCAATTGGAACAACAAGATATCAATTCAATAGAGAGAAGGCGAATAATGTTTTTGAAATCGACAATAAATGGAATGCCGTTTTTTTCTGTTCTTGTTCTTACTCCTTAGCCTTTTCTCCTTCAATAATTCTCTATTGGTTGATCGTTGTTGGATTTTTATGAGCTTGTTATGGCTATAGAAAATACATATCGTATTGTATGGCTCATTCAATGCAAACGGCAATCGGTAAACGAAGGGAAACTTTTGCGGCTGCCATTCAATGGGCTTCGAAATGCTCTCGATGAAGAGATGATTTTCTTTTCGGGTTTTCCTTGTCGGTTTTTTTATGTGTATTCATCTCTCTCGACTCGAGTGTCTTTATCATTGTTTGATGATAGCTTTGTGTGTTTTATTGTATGGATTCTGTGAGCGCTGGGTTAAAGGAGGTGGTATCAATGGATATGGATTGATGTGAATCAACAAGCAATCGAAGCTTTTTCGGAATTAACTGTGATTGCCAATGTGCTGCCGTTGCTACTGAAACCATTTGCCCCCAACGCATTCGAACAGCATTTGTGGTCGTCTTATTTTTTAGCCCGAGTGATTTTCTTTTGAATCCTTGGTTACTCTTGCTCGTTGGCACGACAAACATGATTCGATTTGTAACGATGAACAGATTATTTTATTGTTTGACATGGCAAAATAAATAAATTTTTAGAAAAAAACACAAACGTTGATAAGGGTTTGAGCGCGAGAGGCAATCGAACAAAAAGAACTTCGCCACAGTAAGAAAAGACGAAGTTGTAGAAAAAAACGTCAAATCCGAATCAATGTCGGAGCGGAGAAGAAAAAACGGCAAACGTCAATCAATGTATTTCTAGGGATGGAAAACTTTTTGGAATTTCGGTTGTAACGATTTCAAGTACTTTGGGACCAAGTGGATTCCATTATACACTTAATTCAAATGAAACGACAAACATTTTGATGCATAAATTCACCGACAGTAAATTTTGGTGCGGTCAATAGAATGAACCATGACTACGCTTCCAAATCGTCCCTTCTCGAAGTCAAGAGACAAAGGAAAAACTCAGATTTTCGACTTATTTATTTATGTACTGATACTACGGAATATATACTTTCGGATAAATATTTTATAGAAATGCAGGAATTAATTTGTTTTCTTTCGCTGTGTGTCTGTTTGCATTTGCTGTCTCTCGCCTC